TCAAATTGTTCGACGCAGTACTGTTTCACGAATAGCTTTCGAGTGTGGATGTGGACTGGGTTTGGGTGGGTGTGAATGTGGAATGTTGGTCTTGATGTGGTGTGGGTGTGGTTCCTCTCTTTTCTTATTAAAACACTCACACCCACATCGCACATCCATCCATAAAAAGAAAGTATACTAAATATAATTTATGCGACTAAGACTACCAATCGATTACTTTAATCAGAAATTATACATTCAGCATATACAAATCAACACTACGATGTCCACTTCTAAAAGATTATTGGTATATATTCAAATGTACAACAGAAGGAAAAATAACCATGTATAAAAGATTTATGCATATGATAAATATCTATTCTGCAAAACTACGCAAAAAAGTTGTGAACTAGATGAAGTGGTTGTGTGTGTGGGTGTGGACTGTAGATGGGCACGGGTGTGAATGTCAGTGTGAGTATCAAGATGTCTCTTTTCAACACTCATACGAACACCCACCTACACCTACAGCTCAGATCCACGCTCACACAGACATCCATCCATACCTACACTCACACCCTACGTTCTCGCTGCCTTTTAAAAAACAATTCAGAAAAACATGTGATTTTTTGGTGACATGTGCAAAAAATAAGGACGCTTTTTGAGTATAATAAAACGAGAGAAAAGGAACTGCATAGTCTATTTGGTACAGCGTTCGATAGCCTATCAACATATGTAATTGCTGTAAACTTGACTTTCTGGGTGTGGGTGTTGGTGAGTGTGATTGTGTGTGGGCGCGGATGTGGGCGTGGATGTTAATGCTCTGTGCGCCCACACACACATCTACACCCACACTCCCACACCCACACCCACACCCACACCCACACCCACACACCCACCCACACCCTCACCCACCCGCACACCCACACCCTCACCCACACCCACACCCACACCACCCACACCACCCACACCACCCACATCCCCACACCCTTTCAGTTTTATTCTCATCCTGTATTATTGTCATATAGGTTAAACTTTATCATCTGTTAATCTATTTCAAACTATACAATCAAAGTTTTTTCATATAATTCAAATTTGAAAAATTGTATGAATTATGACAAAATTTGAATAGTATAGTTTGAAATAGATTAACAGATAATAAAGTTGAACTTATATGACAACAATACAGGATAGAAATAAAATTGAAACAGCTAAGAAATCGTCATGGAAATCTGTCAAGGAGTCTTGAGGTATAGAGTTGTCGCTTTTTCTTTAAAAAGATAGCTTAATTCAAGACTAGAACATATTAAAATGCATTTAAACTGTTAAACCATTTTCAAATCGTAAAAAGCACACATTTCAACATATTAAAGTATCTAACGTCATAAAAACGTTTTTAAACGTTGTAACGCGTTAAAATGTGCGCTTTTTACGATTTGGAGCGCGTTCAATGTTCGAGCGTTTTAACGAGTTGTTTTTATTGATTTTGACTGTCTGCGATAGCGTGTAAGTAACTATCATCATTTTTTGTTGATACAAGACATAGGTTATATTCGAAGTAATCTCCAATTTTCATCGAATTTAAAATGAAATATGCATTCGTGAAATGAATGTCGGAAGTCGTAAGAATCTTAATAAAATGACTCTGACAATTATGATTTCGATAACAAGCGACAATGGATGATTGCAGGAGTCATCTTTATGGTATATAGAGTTATTTTTCCTTCTAAACTAGTGCCTATGAAACATGCAGATCTGAATGCCGCCATCGAACCATGAATTTAAACAGAAATTTTTGATGATATCAGCGCATTCCTGTATCGGATGCTGACTAATTCATCCAAATTGGGAAAAGAGCTGAATCTTAGGCATCTTCAAGAATATACTCAATCCTTGCTCATTGAAGAACTGAGAAGTACACTATTGGAGAATGTAAACCAGATCAATAATAGTCAACTTATCAGTCATGGTAATAATCAATCGAGTGATGGTCTCGAGCGTTTTGATTGTCTCAAAACTCTTGTCAGTGCAGCCATTATGGAGCTAAAATATGGAACTCACATCAGAATACCACAATGAGACGTCAGACAATCAGTAACATTCCTCTTGATGGAATAGGAATTTATTGAAAGAGGAGATGAGAAGCATTCTTTGATGTTTTATTATATAGTTTGTTCGTTTTGTTTTGCGCATGTTTGTTGGATGTGGATGTGGATGTTGAAGTGAGAGAGATATGAATAAAACACCAACTCATAGATAATCGGAAAACAAATTACAAGATCGTCTTATTTTATTTGGATTATTCAATCATTTTTTATAGACCGTTTATTAACATTTTTTGGGCTAAAAAGATCTCATTTGATTTATTTTTGATATCATGAACTGTTTTTTTCTGTTCAAATGAAACTGGTCTCAACAATCATTTCAATCTGGATATGTACGATGAATTAATTTTAATATAGACCAAATGTACTCCCTTTTCATTATCAAATTCTAATTTGTTTACTTGAAATTGCACTCCTGGAAGTAATAAAATTTCTTTTTCATCAGCGTAATGACCGATGGTTGTCAGATCTGTAAATTGATCTTCATCCGACGAATAAGATAGCATTTCAATTATATACAAAACGTCCACTGCGAACCTTTCAGCCACAGCTCGGTCGTATGAAGTGGAAACAAATGGAAGCCATTTAAACTGTTTGGAACTGTCTCCAGCTGCCCGTCGATATTCTTCTACAACGTTGTCAGAATTACGATCGCCGCGATAGAGAGTCATCGATTGAATTTCGCTTGGGCGAAGAACTCGTCGAAGGCGATCACGAATTGAAGAATTGTCTTTGAAACGTCGACCAATATAGTTGAATAGGAGATAGCAGAAAGGTCCAAGAGTATGAAGTTTCGTTCGATCATCGTCACGCAATGCAGCGTTTACGACACAATATATATAACACGCTTTTGTATAAAGTTTAGCACAGCAATTTTGTAGCTCTTTGATTCTCTTCTTCGAACTTTTTTCACGAGTGTCCTTTTCGACCTTGTTCAACACTGCCTCGATTTCATGCACTTTATTTTCTGTATCGAATTGTCCCTCCTCGATTAAGCCTTTTAGAAGAACGGGAAAAATGGTATCGAATGTAACCTTCATTTTTCCCTTAGTAAATATCACTAACCAATCATGAATAAATGACGAACCATAATAAGTTGTATCTCCTGTTGCACTGCGGCTGAAAACTAATCCTAAAGGAGATGAAAATCGTTCACGACGTGATGATTCATCTTCCGTTTCTCCTTCAATGACAATAGTTGAAGGAAGACGACATCGTCGCCGTCGAACGGGTCGTTGTTGGTGTGGATTGTTGATATGCTCTTGTACATAGTGTTTCAAATCAATACGATAATTTTCGTCAATAAATATCTCTTTCAAACCGCGTTTATAAGCTTCCTCAATGTCTGATGATATAGCATTAGAATAAGGTGTCCATTCGGGGGTTTGCGTTGCATCCCATAGATCAATATTACTTTGACATTCCCATATGAATTCATTCTGAAGTGACAACTTCCAATTTAATTCTTCTACTGACGATGCCATATCCAATAAAATCAGTTTTGTAACTTCTATACTGATAATTTTAATGTTACTGTGACAGAAATCTATAACAATCACTACATGAAAGTGACTAACTACTCGGAAATGATGTCACCACCAAAGGAAAAAGAAGGAGTCAGTCAGAAAGTGGACCGAGGTAGCAATAAGGAAGAAGCATCGGAATGATTAGTAGTGTAATTTTTTCTATAAGATTTTTTAAAACAATAAAACTGATAAAGTAAAAAAAGATTTCAGCGCTATGGTAGAAGTAATTTTTCTCTTGATGACAGATGACCGCTGATAACGAAAAATCTTCTTCCTCTTCAACTCATTTTATTATTGCCAGTAAGTGTATTCTCAAGTATTTCAAGTCAGAGGATGGCAATTGTTCACTTATAACAAATCATGATGGCTCTCGATAAATCAAGCTGCAATCCGACGAGACTAAATGTTTAGTCTATTTAATCGATTTTTTTCCAGATCATTCTCCTTCTTGGGAACTAGTTGATTCCATTCTGTTTCGGCGTATTTCATTGGTAACAGATCAGAAAATCGTCAGAATATAAGGAACTGAGTGGCGAGATAGATCTAGATTTTTCTGTACGTAAAACTTCTAATCTTTGATACTTCTATTGAACAGCTTGTACGAAAAAATCTGTTGGACAAATAAGAAAGCCTTGTGACCTCAGTCCATGTGATCTCAAAACTTCTTTATATGAGAAAAAGTTTTGATCAAATGATGGTACCAAATGATGAGGATGAAGATAAAAGTTAAAACTAGCCGTTTTTAGATGACACCACTTTCAAACGACTTCTATAGACAATCGACTCCGAAACGTATGTGTGTTAGGCCTAGTTTAAAAAGGGAATTCTCACTCTTCGCCAATTGTTGCAGAACCCGATAAGTGTAGTTGATACAAATCTCTGTAAACAATTCAAATGTTACACACAAAGGCTGAGGGCGTCGAAGAAGTTAAATCAGCTCACTAGTACTTTTCTGACTTAACCCCTTTGAATCATATATCAATGGAAAGAACATGTTGAGACTGTCATTTTAACACTAGTTTTATCAGATTTTTATCGAATTTTCGAAGACACAAGCCGTTAATGAAGTAACTAATTTTTTAGTCATTAATTGAATAATTGATCTTCTCATGGTGGACTCAGTCTTAGGATAAGATAGTTCTGAAACAAGATTACCAGATATGAGAATAAAAAATCCAAAATTCAAATGCCAAAAGTCGGAAAATTCTGGAAGTTCATTTTTGAAATCCGAAAAGGTCCAGAAAGATTTTTGCTCAATGTACATTGTTTTCAACCAGATTATCGATAACATTATTTTTTATCTCCCCAGAATATCTTTTAATGAAACAAAAGAAAATAAACACCAAAACATAATTAACTCAAAGAATAAGAACTTTTAAAGTATATATTACAGAGAAGGTCCTGGGGACCTGCCCTGCAAGTTAGCTATTTTCTTGTACATCAGTCCTGCATATACAGAAGCAGAACCATCTTTTTTTTGACTCAGGAGGGTGGGTGTGGATACGTATGGGTGTGCGGTGTGGATCTGGATGTGGATGAAGAGACAAAGTTCCTTACCCTCACCCACACTCACACCCCGCTCTTTGATGATGGTTCAATTCCATATATGAATTATCGATTGATTAGTTAATTTCGTGACATGTAGGTCTAAGATACTGGCGAGCACTATTGATATAACTCAGGTTGAACAAGTACACTCTTAAAAATTTTCGTATTGCAGAAAACCAACCAAAGAGGTTTG